GATGTATCTCTGAGATGAGAACAGTAAAAAGTGTATTGTTGGCCTTGCCAGCTGATGGCAAACTGCTTCTGCTGGAATTGAGAAAAAGGCACTGGCTAGATTACTAACTGCCTACCAGATACCAGGAGTTGTTTTAATTTGCTCGAGCAATGAAGCATCTGGAACAGCAGTTGCAATTGGAGTCACCACTTGATTAAGTTAACATTTATTTACTCTCGTCCAAGATCAAAGTGTTTTTTGTGCACAGGCTAGATAGGTGAGTTAATGGGGATATGGTGGAAATCCCCACCCCTGTGTCTTTCAAGGCCTTCCTTGACTATAGCACTAATCTCTGCATTCCCTCCAGCAATGCGCTATTACTTTTGGTTTACTATTTTCCTAGGTAGAGGTAGTTGTAGTGGTTTTCCCTTGATAGACCTTATTCCAACATTTCAGGGATCCAGTGTGGGGTTCTGCCAGTTGCTGAGTATGTCTATTTCAATTATACATTCTGAAACTGGGGAAATCTCCTATAAGATGAGTTCAGGGACCCACTGGTCCCACAGTGAGATGAACCTTAGCTAAGATTCCATTAATAACTTGACTTCATATGCCCCCCACTCTGACTGGTAGGCTTCAGTAATATTTTGGGCCTCCTGTAATTATTGTCAATTCAGAGCCAGTGTCCAGTAATTTCCAAAAAGTGATTATTCCTTTTCCCCAGTGAACAGTCATTCTTATAAAAGGCTGGTGATCCCTTTGGAAAAGGCTGGGAGAAAGACTGGCAGGGTAGTGGGGTCCTTTCTCAATGGGTCCTGGCCACCCGTCACTCAAGGGATTGGCTCAAGTCTGGGAATTTAAGAGGCTGTGACTCTCTATTCTCAAGATTCAAGTTAAACCTCCATTCACTTGACCCAAAATTCTTATTGTACAGTTAGTTGTTACTGTTAAGTGCCGTTGAGTCAATTTCGACCCATAGTGACCCTATATAGGGTTTCCATGGAGTAGTTGGTGAGCTTGTAGGGGTTAAGTATATATAAATAGAAATAAATACATAGCGCTGGTTTTGCTTTCTTAGAGAACCCAGCCTAAGACAACTAGTTATTAGACAGTCCCTAGAAATGAAGTATAGATGGGAAACCTAGATGGTTTTGGTTCTTTACACACACATATATAAAAGAGAAGTTTATATCAAGGAAATGGTTCACGATTGTAGTGATGGGAGAGTCCCAATATTAGCCCAGGTGAACCAAGATCGGTGAGTGGCTCCGAAAGTCAGGAATTCCACGTCGAATGTAGAGCAGTATTCCAGCTCTGGAGTAGGGGCAGCAGCAGGGTGAAAGTCGACTAAGGTCTGGGCAGGCATGCTGCAGACCCGGCAGTGCAGAGCACACAGGCCGTCTGATGGGTGTCTAGATTTCTGTGCACACTCAGTGGGCAGGTCCAGCAGACACACACACAACAGAGCAGGCCACTGCCTCAGGTTCAAAGAACCACAGGTTGGAAGATGACCCAGATTTGAGATCCAGACTTAGTGGGAAAGAGTACAAGACTTGCCTACGTGTCCCTTATATTGGGAGCAGGCCACACTCCCAAGGAAATATCCTTTGAGTTAACTATCACCTGCTTAACAACTGGGAATGTTGGCTCAGTCAGGTTAACATAGAACCTAACTATCACAGTAGTCAACACCGTAAGTCCACAGGATTAACACTATTTTGATTATTACTTTGATTCTGCCTTCCTTACGATAACCACACCCACCTTGCTTTGTTGATTAATGTTGCCACTTGCTTTATACCACCGCAGGTCCAGACAGTCCCATTGTTGTTGTTAAGTGCAGTTGAGTCAGTTCCAACTCATAGCAACCCTGTAGAAGGTTTCTGAGGAGCAGCTGTGGGGTTTGAACTGTCAACCTTGTGGTTCGAAGTCCAGTGCTGATCCTACACTGCTAGGTGTCTTAATTCAATTAGGGGAGTTCCCACTATTAAATCTGGCTTACATAAAATAGCAATCACAACAATCTTCAAAGAAACTGGGGGTCCCTTTACGGATTCGTTCCTTAACATTTGTGGTGAAAGGTGTCTTTATGGGTTTGTCCTGATAAATCTATAACATGCCAATTTCCTTTGGATTCCTTCCTCTAAAGAATACCAAGGCAGGTGTGGTACTTCAACTTGATGTATTGTAGGCTACATGCTTCAACGAACCAACCAAATAATCTCTCAAGCTGAAACACTGGATAATCTGTGCTTGGTGGGCCCATTTCAATAAACTCACACGGATCCAGTGTATCTATCCTACACACATTCTTCAGGTTTCTGTTTATACATATTAGAAAAGTCAAATATTTATTTTTGAGTATAGCATACGTCTTCCTGGGTCACAAATAAGACTAGAAGCAACAATTGGTGGAGGTATTTTCTGAAAACATTCAGAAATGTCTTGCAAGACATATCTACCTTAGGGGATGCCTCAGACACGGTTGTGTTAACGTCTTCAATTGTGGGCACAGGGCATGATGGTTTTAGTGATGATGGATCCAGACAGAGATGATGTAATCTCTTCAAATGGGAGTGTTGGTGCTGTAGACAATAGTTGTTGTTAAGTGCTAATGAGTCGGTTCCAACCCATAGCGACCCTGTATAGGGTTTCTGAGGAGTGGCTGGTGAGCTTGAACCACCAACCCTGTGGTCCAGTGTTTTATCCCACCAGGACTCCGTTGGCAATAGTGAGTCAATGGAATTTACGTTTTCTATGTCCCCAGCATCCTGATTATGTGTCCATATCTCCATCCTATGTTTCAGTATTCCATTTTTCTACAGTCAGTGCCCTCACTGTAACATTAGACACGGCTCCAGTTGAAGTTGTTCCTCAACTACTCTACACTAAGACTCTGGGTTTGGTTTTTGGCAGTATCAACTGTGCTACTACAAGAAACAGGGCTTATTTCAGGGCAGAAGTGTAAACTTTGAGATGCTTGAGCTGTGACTCCTCAGCCCTAAACTTAATCTCTTTCCTTTATGACTTGCTCTATTGTAAGTAAGATGAACCAGCCAGCTTCACTGTACTTCTCAACCTGACAAAATTGCAGAAAAGTACTATACATACAATCACCCAGAGCCTCACGTCTCTCCGATATGTGATGTATTGGTTGTGATATTTTGTGTATTAATACTGCCATTTCATGTCATGGATTAGTAGTACCCTCTTTACTAGTGAAGGCAGAGTAATTGATGTCTTTAAAATTAGTTAGACTGGAGACCAATTTAGAAAACACATCTTTGTGGTGGTGTTTTTCTAGACCCACTCTGGTACCAAGTATCTTAGGCTGGGTTCTCTCTAAAGAAGTAAAAACAGGATTGGCAAGTAATAGAGAGGCAGTCCACAGAACCAGAGGTCAGAGGGTAAGCCACATGAAAGATGCAGACCTGCAGTAAAGCAAACACACTTTGCTTGAGTGTGTCTACTTTATTGGAAGCAGGCCACACCCCCAAATAAACATCCTGTCAGTTGTTTGTTCTGCTCACAGCAGAAGTCATTGTAGAGTTAATTGCACTGTTTTAGACCTCATTAGAAAGATAATGATACCTCAACTGCCAGACCATTGAGAATTTCCAGGCCCAGTCAAGTTGGCACAAAATCTTAACTATCACAATCTTTGAGCACTATTTTTTTGGTAAAATAAATCAGTCTATAATTGTATAGGATTTCTGGTGTGGTGTTATAGGATAAGGACTGGACTCCTAACCACAAGTTTGGCCGTTCAAGTCCACCAGTTGCTCCCCAGAAAACCTGTACAATGGTCCCTGTGAGTTGGAACCAACTTGATGGCACTTAAAACAACAGAAGTAATATAAGAAATTTCACTGAGAATGCCATTAGGAATTTAGATCTGGGGAAGAGTAATTGTAGCTGGTAATTTTTAGGGCAAACTGAAAGTTGTTTTTTTTTGCTTGTTTGTTTTTTTGAGCTAGGCCTTAAAAATGAGGATTGAATTTGTTAAAATGGGAACAAGGGGGTAACACCTCTTTGGATTGAATTATAGGTTTTAAAGTTGGTGATTGTTAAGGGTTGTCGAGTTTTTTCCGACTCAGTGATCCTGTGTAGGGTTTTTGAAACTTTACATATTTGTGAGAGCAGAAAGCCTCTTCTTTCTCCTTTTAAGGGTGGTGGTGGATGTTAAATGCCCTTGAGTCGGCTCCGACCCATAGTGACCCTGCACAGGGTTTCCTAGGAGTGGCTGGTGAGCCTAAGCCGCCAACCTTGCATTTCAAACGGCTCTGCAGTCTGACGCATCAACCCACAGCGCCACAAGGGTGGTGGAGGTAGAAAACAAGGTTGGAAAGGTGAGATATTGTTACTAGGTCATTCAGAAATAAAAATGGTCCAACAGAAATGATTGGGTTAAAAAAACACTCTTCATAGTCATGCTTATAAGGTGAATGGTAGGATATCAGGTTGTTGATAAAGTGACTGGAAGATTATTTGTAGTCTTTGAGAAATCAGTTCCCAGGTCATCTTAAGGCAACTAAAGTGGAATAGGGAGAAAATAATTAGTGATGGCAATTACTGATAATAATACAAATATGTGGAAGTTGTGATGCTGACAGTTATATACGGAAAAAGGAAGATAATGGTTGTAAACACGATGCCAATATTGAAAAGAGGTAGTAGTGTCCTGGCGGTCAGTAAATAAAAGGGAAGGAAGAAAGATGTAACTGGAAGTACTCATTGACATAAAAGGAATTCTTGAACAAAAGACAGACAGTGATCTGGAAGCATCAGGAAGAATCAGTTTAAATGTTTACAGACTAAAATTTCTTGTGACAAAGGGACATGTATATGCAAACCTGGTAGAGAAGATGTTTTGCAGAGAATTGCCAATAACTTTTAAGTTGCTCAAGAACTGTAGAATATTATTAATTGTGCAGAAGGGTCAGTTTTTTGTTGTTTGTTTTCTCTGTCCTGATTGTTATCTTTTACATTGAATTAACTTTTTGGTGTTTTTGTTTATTTAGATACACAGAAGTAAAAACAAGTGGAAATTTCATCTCAAGGATGGCATTATGAATCTTAATGGAAGAGATTGTATATTTTCTAAAGCCATTGGAGATGCGGAATGGTGAAGAGTTGCTTTTTTTTTTTTTTTTTTTTACAAATAAACAACAAAATTTAAAGTGGATAGTTTGAAACTTGGGACATACTTCACCAACCAAAACTTAACTTCTGCATGTCAGAACAGTGCAGTAGAAGCAAAGCTACTGAAACAAAGATAAACTTCAACAACATAGACACTACTTCTAACTGGCAAGCCATGGGACTGTAGCACCTGGGATAGTTGGGAGGGGGAGGGTATGGGGGTTTGTGTGGGAAAACCATAATTGTCAATTTTAAATACAGGTACCTGCCACCGGTAATTAGCATGTAAAGCTTTGTCTATATTCCAGCTTGGGTTAAATCAGAAGAAACTTGTTGAAAGAATTGAAGAAACTTCCCTTTTGATAGATTGAATTGAAACTGCTTATTTGTGTGTGGTTATATTTGGTAAAAATTGCGTGTGAGCTTTTTACAAAAGGGTAAGAATTATGGTGTTGAATTTTAATTCACTTGTATAAGGAAACAATTTAAAGCTCTTCATAATAGGTCTTAAATGTTTTTACTTGCTGTTCTCCCTCAGTAATATACCTCTTCCTTCCCTGCTTTATGAAACATCTATTAAAGACTTAAAGGAAGTAATCAATGATCACATTTAGTTTGGAGACATTTGACCCAGAAACAGATACTTCTTTTAATTAGATTTTCATATATACTCAGTGTAATTTAAAGACTTAAGTCTTTGCCTGAATTGAGTGAAATTAAAATAACAATTTTAATTTCCTCTCTAAGAAACTCTATGTGTTTCTTTTAGTTTTATGCCTTTAAAAGAAGACCCTAATTGGAACCTCAGAAATACAATTTTATTTCACAAAGGTATTTCATGTAGCTGCAATTATATACAGATAAGTAGATGTAGATTTTTCCTGTTAGACTGAAGTATATACTTATTTATGCATTTAATTTTTACACAAAACAAAATTCAGATAATATTCTGTGCATTGATTGAAGCATAGAGCAGGTGGTGAAAGTCCTGGATTTTTATGAAATAGCTTAGCAATTATAGTAGTTTCTTGTGTTTACTATTAAAGAATGGAAAACCTATTCTCATTGAACAAATTTTTAAAACAACTTTGTAATTTGAGGGAAATTTTTTGGGGTAGTAGGGAGTGGGCCACTAAATACAAATTTACCTCTATTTCATTTAGTGGCTCTTTCAGGCCATTGATAGGGACATGGGCTCCAGTTTGCACAACAGGAAGATGCAAAGATATTTGATTTGTATATTAAAAATAGAAATTTAATATGTATCCTACAAATCGCATAGCTTTGTATTCTATAAGGCGCTCTTATGAACAATATGGCACTGCTGTGTTCATTGTGAACTAGCTGCCTGGGAGAACTACAGGAACACTTGTTCACTAACTCAATTTTGTGTTGTTTCTCTTGACAAAATTCATTTTTTAAGTTACTTGTGTGTGTGTGTGTGTGTGTGTGTGTATATATATATATACACATACATACATACATACATATAGTCTTCCATTTACTTCTCTTTGTATATTACCAGAAGTAAGACAAAAACACTTTAAAAGTACATAGCAAGAAAACTGTGAGCTATTATTACCTATGAGTTGTCATTTTTTAACACAGATCTTTAAACTTCTCAAAAAGCCTAATCAATTCTTTGCCAACTTTGTATCCCACATACCAACTTTGTCCCTTTTAACTTATGTTCTGAGCTTTGTTGTAAATGGTGGATAGTTAAATACTAGTAGTTAAGTTTTATTTAGATGCTGTAATTGAGAATACGGTTCTTAGTTTGACAATATAGTTAGGTTTCTGGGTTTTGTTTATTTGTTTTTTGAGATTTATTTGTTTATCCCACTACTTTCAAAGCACACACAGTTTTTAAACTAATGAGGCTGAGAGGAGAGGGAGGGGAAAGAAGGTGGTGAAGTATAGAAATCCTGTTGTTCTGTTGTCCTTCAGTAAAGTTGCTAGTAGGTTTATATTTACCCAATGCAGAAGTCAATGACCTGAACTACCTATAAAAGTTTAGCAGTGCTACAGTGTTGATCAACTGAGTTCTTTTGACTATCTAGTATAGTAGCTCTCAGCTACTGACACTAGGGTTGCTGTATGATACCTAGCTCATGCCTTGGGTCCTCTGTGTAGGCAAACATTTGTGTTCATAGTAGCATGTGGCCTGTTGGTATAACTTTTTTTCCCCCTTAACATGAACAACCACTGCTTTCAGAATGACTCAACTACAGTTATTTTGAAGCAGAAATAACCATTCGTATTTGCACCTGTGTATTGCATATGTTAACGTAGCATGCTTGGCAGTTACTTTTCTTTTATCTGTGAAAAACACAAAGCCAGTCCAAACAACACTGCATACCAATTAGTGCTCTTACATATTGCTGCATTGTATTTCTTTTTAGTCAGATAGCATGTTTTTGTTTAATGACAGTGGCTTGCTATGAGAATGTCACTTGCTTATCTTTTATTGTGCTTAAATTCTTAATCATGCTTTTAACATTGTAATTAAATCATTTTATTGGGTTCCTTTGAAAAGGCTAGGGAGTCCTACTCTAAGAATTTTTAAATGAAAACGTGTTTGTTCTCACGGGGGCTGGGGGGGGGGAATAGTTCAGACTCGGCATTATGGAAATGAGTAAAGGATATGTTTAGATTTGCACAGATGGCGATGGCATCTTAAACCAAAAAACCAAGTCCCTGCTGTCAAGTCAATTCCAGCTCTTAGTGACGCTGTAGGACAGAGTAGAGCTCTGTCCCATAGGGTTTCCAAGGATGACCATCTTGATTGGATCAGACTGTCACCTCTTTCTGTGCAGCAGCTAATCGGTTGGAACTGCTGCTGGTCTTTGGGCTAGCAGTGGAGAGTTTTAACCACTGAGTAACTAGGGCTCCTTGATGACATCTTAAAACAAAAACATGAACATTAATCAACAGTGTGAAGGGAAATTTACAAAGATTGCTAGATAAAGTGGGATTGTGTGCCTTTCAGTATACATACACTTGTTTGATGGTCATTTGACTAAACAGACCGCTTGAATGCCTGGGAGCACATTTAATTTCTGTGGTGTGCTATATATATGGCTAAGAACAACTCTTTCATGTGCAATTCATTTCTAGAGTAAAGTGTCTGTTATATGAGGGGTCTTTATATTGGGCTTTTATGATTTTTTAAATGTTCACATTTCTTTCTGTCAATTAAATGCCATCGTAATATCACCTTTACATCGTTGCCTCTTTAAAATCAAAGACACCTTGATGTTATTCTTATAGGAACACATCAAGATTTTGAGCAGTGTGTATAGTGATTAAACTATGTTCTTAAAGAGATTCTGGTTTTAGAAAGCAAGATCGTAAAAATACAAGTTTTTGTATAAAGATTTCCTCTTGCTAGTGAAAATCAAGTATTTGGTTTTCTTTTTTCTGTGACTGTTATGGGAGAAAGAAAAGGGTTGTCTCCCTCTAAGAAGTCGTCATTTTGGATTCTCACACAGCAATAATGTCAGCATTCTTTTCCGAGGGGAAATACACCTTGTACGGCAAAACAGACCTAATAGCCTCTTTGGACTTCCCTTTGTAACTTAGCGTTTTCTTCCTCTAGAGAAAATTCTTATATTTTCACATGATTTCATCGTTAACTTTTTTGAGCTTTTGTGCAATGTAATGATTTATTGATATGTCTTTGTATATTTTCATTTTGTTTCATATGTCTGTCTCCCTGGCTGAATCAGCTATTTCATATTTTAAACACATAGGTTAAAAAACATAGTTTTATATATTTCCCTTATGGGTTTATGTTATAGTTTTGAATTGTAATCCACTATTATGCTATGGAATTTTTTCTGAAGTTTATATTCTTCCCTTTGTAAGCCTGCCTTAGTCTATCTATTGTCATTTTCTGTGGTTTAAGGAAGAATGCACCAAACATATATTTTTGGTTTGTTTTTGAAAAACAAAAGTAACTATTTTTTCCTTCTCCTAAAGGAAAAGCTACATGGAGTTTGTAACTACTCTTCTAATCACTTTCCCTTAAATGAGTCCAATATGCATCAGGGCTATAATTTAGGGGGAGGGACTAATTTTACCTTTTGCTGTTCTGAGCTACTATTGTCAACTGCTGTTGTACATACTGTTATGTGTAAGGGCATAAATATATTTATTATGTTTGTAAAATTCATTCTGCACTACTGCAGATCAAGGTTGCTCTTCTGTGATATACAGGATATTATGTTTTAAAGACCATCCTTGGAAACAATTAGAGGACTTAGTATTTTGATGTACTAAGACCCATTTTAAGTTTAATATTTTACCTTTGCAAAAACTTTAATTAAAGATGTTATTTAAAAAAGTAATGTTGCTTGCTTTGCTTACTCTAATGTATCACATTGTTACATAAATAACTGAATGGTATACAGTTTAGGAAGGGAAATGATTTACATTGTTAATGATAAGTTCCATTATCAAAGTTATCATTAAATTCTATACAATTAAAATACTTAGGGTGGGATGCCTGTCTGAATTATTAAACTGTGTTACAAAGTCTTAGTAGGTTTTTTTGCTTTTATTTTCAGGGCACACAGTAATTTAAATTGGCTAAATTTACACCAAGAAAGTGTAACTATTAATTGATGTAATTAACATTGTATTAAATGGTTATTTCTACTCCAAGGAATACATTACTTAGGACGAAATTATTTTGACATTATTGTTTTACTGTTTAGCTAATTCTTGCCCTCTTAGTTCAGCGTTTGTAAATAATTGCATATTAGAATTGGATTTGTATTACATATCAAATATATTTTGTATTATTTGAAAAGGTACTAAATAAGTAGCAGGTATTTTGATTTTATAGTTACATGAAGAGAAAGCTTGCCTTTTTTGTAATTTTTTTATCCTATTACAGACTACTTTATCTAGGAAACATGCAAATTTTAACTATTAAGCAATCATAATAAAGCTATTTTACTTACTTCCAGCAAATCTTGTATTTTTGTAGTTTAATTTAAGCTCTCCTACATTGCTGCTGATCTTAACCTTTTTTGGGCTCATGTTGTCCTTTAAAATGATGGCAGGGGTTTTGAGAATTAAATGAAGTATCACATGTGAAGCTCTTTAAAT